TGTCAACTCCATAGATTATGAAAGCGCCGGAGAGCGCCATCTGTTAGTTATATTCCAGAACGTTTCATTTATTTTCTTTTAGTATAACAGAATCGTAAATTAAACCTTAACCAATACGAACGGCCATGTGTATGTGAAATAAATACGAATAAACATAAAGAACAAATGAGCGGTATTCACACAGTTTACAACTCTGCGATGACGCGAAATTTTGCATGTCATATTGAATAATTTTATTTAGATTTAGTATTTTTTGTTTTTCGGAATTTGTGCTTCGGAAGGCACGTTAAGCCGTTGGTCCCGGCTGCATCTGCAGTCGTTAGCACCCACCAATCCGCACTGGGCCCGCGTGGTGGGTCATGGTCCAATCTCCCTATTTCATCCATAGCGAAGGCCTCTGCCCCAGCAGTGGGGACATTAATAGGCTGATGATTTTTGTATTTTTTTTTTATGATTTTTTTTGCCTAGTAAACAGAATATTCATAGTTCAGTCTATATGTTTTTTTTTTTACATTTTGTGTTTTCTCTTATATCTAAATCACTTATATATAATAATTAATACTGAATAAAGATTTTATTGACGTGACAACGTCTTAAATTAGGTTGCGGCTGGGAGTCACTTATGAAAAAGTGTAACGCTCGGTAACGTTACGATGAGTCTCTCGTGTTAAGTTTAAGTTTACATGTACAATGTTTTAGTAAACAAAATATATTTCTATAGTTAAAATTTGTGCAATTCTTATTTTCATTCAATTCCTTGTTCCTATTGTGCAATTTAATTATATTCATATCAATAAATATTCTACCGAGAAAAAGACGTTGTCACGTAAAATCTTCGCCCGTAAAACCGACTTTACAGGCAACCATTTTTTTTTATAGTTACTTTATTCGTCCGTGTTTGGTTCAAAGACATACTAACTAATATGAGAATGTACCTAAAGAATGTATGTAGTTCCGTTCACTCACACTTAATTTGCTTAATAAAACAATTAAGTGTTGTAAAGCACGTATATTTTAATTTATATGGTAACTTAATGTGCATGACTCAAGTTCTCTGTTCAGAAAATGTTTTTTATATTTTTAATTGCTAGCAAAACTGCTTCATTAATAAGCAAATCTGAAGAGAGAAAAGAAGTTGTGTTTTGTTTCTGTATTGCAAATTCACAAAAGGATTTAATTTAATTAACTAAATATTAAAGAAAATATAAGCTCAAATACAACAAAACTGAAAGGACTTACTGTGTCACCTATTTATTTATAAATAATTGTCTTAATTCAACATAATATTTTGCAACATTTATGGTAACAATCAAAATGTGTACAAAAGTGCATATTATTAAATTTCAGTTTCTTACCGTTTATAATACTTATTTGTTTCTTAGGTTTTCACGCACATCACTCATTAAATTATTTAACCTACCTACTTTCAAGGAAATAATTTTTAGTCTATACTTTTTAAACACTAAAACGCTGTTCGCCACATCCGCCATGATTGTGACGTCTCTATGGTAGTAAACAACTAAATTCATTCAGTAATTCATACATAACCTTAAAACTTGTATTATTAAAACTGATAATAAATGAAGAGACTTAAAATATTATTCAATGAGTTACATCAAAGTAATCTTCGCAAAAATAAATTTTACTATGAATCGATAAAGTTGCAGGATCCCTTTTAGCAAGTTCTAACCAGGTATTGCGTAGGTTAATTTCTTTTGGCACTTTAATCCACAACTTTCCTGGAGTCTTCAAGGATGTGTTTTACATTCTCGTACAATACAATGATGATAATTACTATATTTTACGTGGTTTTTATTAGAAATCATGTTTTTTTATTATAATCTCATCAAACTATCAGATAGGTTATTTTCTACGTTTTTGCGAGTTTTTGTTTACTACCGGTTGACGTCATAGCATAGATAATCTATAGACTAAATTGGCCGACAGCGTTTTTGTATATCCATGAAAAGTCTATTTTAAAATTAAAGATATGTAGCTTTCTAAGTCTTGAAAATATACATTTTTTCGGTCTAATAGAACATTTATTAACCATTTAAAATCTTTTTCCAAAAAGGGTCAATTAGCCTATTCGAGTAATTTCTTTCGTGCACCCGAATACAGGCTAACGACCAAACGAATTCGAGCTATAAGGGTGGCTGAGATATGAGTCAGCTACGGCTCATAAGTTTTTTTGTAGATTATTGTATACTAGCAGGCTCCCGCGACTACGTGCGCGTAAACTTTATTTTTTGTTTGATTGACGACCTCCGTGGCCGTGTGGTTTGTACGCCGGGTTTCATGGTGTCGCCGACTCGAGAGGTCCCGGGTTCGAATCCCGGTGGGGGCAGATGTTTGTGTGATGAATACGAGCATTTGTACTCTAGTCATGGATGTTTAATATGTATTTCTATATAAATATACTTATATATGTACAGTATATGTATTCTATCCGTTACCCTAGTATCCCATAACACAAGCCTTAAAGTGCTTACTTTGGGGCCTGGTTAATTGGTGTGAATGTTGGAAATATTTATTTATTATTTATTTATTTAATGAGACCACGAGAAGCAGTTCTCCCATTAATGGAACAAAGTCCTGAGACCACGAGAGAAAACAGGGTTTTCTCTCATTACAATACATAATTCATAAACCAACGTTCCGAGTAACCTCAAATAATGTAACACAGCCAAACAAACAAACTTTCATTTTTCACCAAGTATATTTACATTTTCATCTATCAAATCGATAAGTGGCCGATTGGTAGCGTCTGTCTACCTCGTTACGTAAAACATTCGAGCCATAATAAGACGGCTTGTGGCGATGGCGTAGCGAAAGTGCGAAGCTTTCGCCGGAGGTCAAACATACACTGGCGCGCCTCTAGACAATTACCACGACATTACGTAGGTAATGGTGTTTTAGTGATAATTATATTCATGTCTTTATTTATTTATTGCGTTTTTATTACCTAAAAACGCATTATAAAGCTGAGTACGGATAGCGCTTTCCAGGGTACGCGTAGTCGGCTATGCGTGCCCTGGAACGTGCCAAGAAGAAAAATCTTTATTCTCTCTTTATTCTTTATTGCATGCCACAGATAGTACAAAAAACAACAATATTAAGTTGTACAAATATGTGACACCCTGCAAGGGCGTTGCAATTTTACTTAAATTATTATTATTAATTAAATAAACTATCAAAATTATTATAAAAAAATAAATTCAATTATTATACATGCATCTTACCAAAATTAAAATTAAAAAATACATATATTTTACAATTTAAAAACTATAGATATTAATATACAATTTTCACACTCAGAAATCTTTTATACCCTAGTAGTAACCCTTTTTTTAAGCACATATTTCAAAAAGAGAGTAGGTTTTTTCATAATAAAAGTTTATTTTGAGAAACCGTAAAGAAAAATCATATTTTTATGTGCTAATTTATAAGATAAAATACAACAAACAAGTAATAAGGTGCACTTTGTGAAGTTAGCTCTTATAGAGTTAGGGCGTGTAGAATTAGAGGTTTGGCTCTTTTCATCATCAGCCTATTAATGTCCCTACTGCTGGGGCACATGCTTTCCCTATGCATGGAATATGGAGATTGGGCCAAGACCCACCACCCGGCCTAGTGATTGGTGGGTGCTAACGACTGCAGATGCAGCCAGGACCAACGGCTTAACGTGCCTTCCGAAGCACGGAGGAGCTCGAGATACTAAATTTTTGGTCACCCATCCAATGACCGACCACTGCGAAAGTTTCTTAACTTCAACGATCGCTACCGAACGCGCTAACCACTTGCACCATCGAGCTCCTCCTAGGTTTGGCTGTACATTATACATTTTGACAACATTTACAAGTTGTCAATATGTTGTTGGTAAAATTTTATCATATTTTTAAGTAAAATTTATGCAAGCCCGGAAAGAGAGCCCTAAGAAAACGAAAGTTGATTTTACGAAACAGACGCGGAGATGATATCCGGTTTCTTAAACCCACGACATATCGACAACGACATTATGGGACACGAACACGTAATATTGATGTTCCGTAAGAAAGTTGAATATAAATAGTTATTTATTTATCACACTAATAATGTGTGATAAAGGCGAAAGTTTGTGAGTGTGTGAGTGTCTTTGTTTTTCACTTCTTCACTTCTAAACAGCTCTTGCGATTTTAATAAAATGGATTTAGCTAACACCTTAGATAAATGGTTCCAAACCAATGGTCCGTGGACGACCAGTAGTCCGCTAAAAATGTTATTTCTTTTTATTTAATTTAATATTAGATTTTTAATTAAAGTTTTCAGTTTGATTATTACAGTTTATTTTTATTACACTAAAATTTAGTTATTTAGTGACTAAATAGTGGTCCGTGCCAAAAAAAATAATGTAAAAGTGGTCCCTGACCAATAAAACGTTGGGAACCCCTGCCTACGGCATAGGCTACGTTTAACTGCGGGAAAATATCCCTAATTAACCGCGAGTAACACCGCGAGGCAGAGCTAGTAAGCTTATAAAAGAAATAAAAATATCTGCGTAGACGTTTCGTGACCTTCAATTACAATAAAAACATAAAACTTTTTAATAACCGTGACCTACACTGTACACCTGATGGGGTGAAGGCAGTTTAACTTATTTTGATGTATGTTAACATAATTTTTATGTGTTAACGTATGATTTATTGTTGTATTATTCACTTGCATTAGAAATAATATTGGGTGTGTTCCGAAATATAAACCAGTACGCTGGCCAGTGGTAATGACGTCATGATTTCGACGCCATATTGCACTGGTGTAGACCAGCCAGTGTACTGGTGTTTGATTCGGAATACACCCATTATCTTACACAAAAAAAATGTTAATTTTTCTGTGCATTGACATAGAAAAGAGTAAAAGAAGTTTATTACAACATAGCATTATAAACTTGCGACAGTCTTTGCGGGTTTCCACCCTTTTTACAAAATAAAACCTTGCCAACAATCTCCAAGACCACCTTTGTTTCCAGTGGCAACGAGGATGCGTTGGAGGGCCGCATGGAGCCGGACCAGTTCCCCAGCGCCAGCGCCCTGAGGCAGTCCTCCCTGATGCAAAGCTGCCCCTTCAAAGGAGTACCCAAGTGCCCACCCGCCTCCAAGAGGTAACCATGATTGATGCTTACTTAGGGTCCACGCATTTACCTACGTCGAGATGGCTTGTTAACAGCAAGTCACGTACGTGGATACAATACATTTTATCTCCCCGTCTCATCGAAAATAAAAAGTTCTACCGTCCACCTGCCTCCAAGCATTGACCAAATCAAATAAATAGATTCTCTCTCACCTGTCGGAAGATACTAGGTTTATGCACTTGCATTTTACCGGTATATACAGAGACAAGGAACGATTTTGGTTCTCTGTATGGCTGTATGTAGTCTGTACTTCTATGACAAAGGCATCATAGCGAAAAATGTTATATATACAGGATGTTACAAAAATACAAATAAAGCTTGAAGGGCGTTGAAGTACATCATATAAGGAGTCTTCTCTAATTTTCTTAAAATATTTGTATGATGTTTTAAATTTTTATAAACACAGTTATTTTTAATGATTCTCGAACTAGTGACGTGTCTTAAAATGATCGATATTTTTATTAATCATTAAAAATAACTGTTTTTATAAAAATGAAAACTTAATGCAAATATTTTAAGAAAATTAGAGAAGACTCCTTATATGATGTACTTCAACGCCTTTCAAGCTTTATTTGTATTTTTGTAACACCCTGTATACAGAAGTTTTAAGGTACACTTAGGTATTTAACAATACAAATTGTAATTGTAAAATCTCATAAAACATGTTTTTTGTTAAGGTTAAAAAAAATTATGTATTGAATATTTTAGTACATTTTGAACATTGGTATGTTATTTTAATGTTATCCCTCAGGTATCGCACCCATGACGGCACCTGCAACAACTTCAACCGTCCACGATGGGGCTCCACGATGACCCCGGTGCAGAGGTTCCTGGCGCCATCCTACTCGGACGGTCTGCAGGCGCCCAGGGTCTCGATCTTCGGCTCCAAGCTGCCTTCTGCCAGGGAGATCAGCGCCGTGGTCCACGCCAGCGAGAACGCAGAGAACCCTGGCATCACCCATCTGCTGATGCAGTGGGGACAGTTCTTGGATCACGACATCACGTCGTCTTCGCAGTCGAGGGGCTTCAATGGGTCCGTACCGAGGTGTTGTAAGGACGGCGGGAGGGATTTCATGCCAACGGAGTTGATGGCAAGTGGAAAACGTTTTTTTTTACGTTATTTACTATGGAAATATGCCACTAGTCTAAATTTTTAAGTTAATCTTTAGGATAACTTACTGAGATGATTACAAAGTAAGTACATATGTGAAGAAAAAAATGCCTTGTCTTAATAAAACCATACCTCCATCATCATATTTTTCAAAAATTCAGCACTTTTGATGATGTTGTTAGTATACCAACGATACGCTATATATTCAAATCTATTCCGGCATTTAGAAGTTATTGTAGAATAAAGCTCGCACATGCATGCACGAACTCTAAAAACATAACACTCTTTTTTGGCAGTCGTGTAATAAGACTGCTACGGTCCCTAAAGCCTGCATTCAAAGAAGTCATTTGACTTTTAGGTTTGGCTTAAGTTAAAGCAGTCAGAGGAGCTCAATGGCGCAAGTGGTTAGCGTGTTCGGCTGCGATCGTTGAAGTTAAGCAACTTTCGCAGTGGTCGGTCATTGGATGGGTGACCAAACATTTAACTCCGTGCTTCGGAAGGCACGTTAAGTTAGCACCCACCAATCCGCACTGGGCCCGCGTGGTGGGTCATGGCCCAATCTCCCTATTCCATCCATAGGGAAGGCCTGTGCCCCAGCAGTGGGGGCATTAATAGGCTGATGATGATGATGGTGAAAGCTGTCAGAAACAAGAGAACGCACACGTGACTTAATGAAGCACTTTTGAAGTTTCTGATTTCAGCTATAAGCTAATAAATAAACATATCACCAACAGCATCCGGAATGCTTCCCGATAGCAGTGCCTGCATCGGATCCTTTCTACGGCGCACGCGGCGTGCGGTGCCTGGACTTCGTGCGATCATCGCCGGCTCCCCGCGACGGCTGCGAGCTCGGCTGGCGGGAGCAGCTTAACCAAGTGTCAGCTTACATCGATGCGTCGCCGCTGTACGCCAGCTCGGCGCGCCAGTCCGATAAACTGAGGCTGTTCAGAAACGGTGAGTCTGGTAGTCAGACACAGTCACATACCATAACACACTGACTCCTGCTGAGAAGACTGCGATTTGGGATGGCTGGAACAGCTTAACCAGGGATCCGCCTATATCGACGCCTAGCCGCTGTAAACTCTTAAAGTTAACTTTTTAACTTTCTTCGAGATAAAATTGGAATTTTCAGTTAAAAATTTGAAGTAACTTCTAAAATCTGCAAGTAACAGAAATTCTTTACATTTATTGAAATTAAGAAAAACTTTATATTGGGCAGGGAATTTTCTGTCCTATTATCTATGTGTACAGCAGGGTTGCCAGGTCTCCCGATTTTACAGGTGATCTCCTGTTCTTCTGTTTTTCGACATGAATCTACTGTTTCTCTTACAATACGATTTTCTTTTTTAATTGCACGTTGAGTTGCGTTTTCGACCCTTAAAAATGTAGGTAACCTTAATTATAATAAAATAATATGTAATATCAAAAAAAAACCAGCTTTGAAGGCGGCAGAAGCCACAGAAATACTGTACTGTTTTTTCTTGTAGCTCTTTTTATACATCTACTGTGTATTTTTATAACGCCTCCCGATTTTTTAAAATCGGACCTGGCAGCACTGGTCTACGTAGCCATAACTACAGTAAACAGATGGTCGGGAATCGTCTGGATTGAGGATGCACTTTTTCTTAACCGCAATATTGCTTTTAAAAATAGTACGACCGTCGAGAGGGGGATGTAATTCTCCCGACAACAATCCCAAAATCCCGACATTTTAAAATGTATCATAGATATTTTAACTTCTCGCTCAACCGCAACTCGGCCGCTAACCCAAATAGGTAGTATGGTTTCGTTATCTTGAAGTCTTTTATTTTGCCCTTTTGAAATTCGGTTTGGAAATGTACCCATTCCCTATTGGAACGGCAGGCATGCTTCAGTACGGGCGCGTGCAGCAGCGTCGCCCACTCCTGCCGCCGGAGCGGCGCGACGAGCTGTGCCGCGGCGGCGCGCTCTCCACCGACTGCTTCCGCTCCGGCGACGCGCGCGTCAACGAGCACCCCGGCCTCGTGGCCGCGCACATCGTGTGGCTGCGGCACCACAACCGGTGACACGCCTCCCATACTGTACTGCACTATACTGTCCCCGCTCTCCACCGACTGCTTCCGCTCCGGCGACGCGCGCGTCAACGAGCACCCCGGCCTCGTGGCCGCGCACATCGTGTGGCTGCGGCACCACAACCGGTGACACGCCTCCCATACTGTACTGCACTATACTGTCCCCGCTCTCCACCGACTGCTTCCGCTCCGGCGACGCGCGCGTCAACGAGCACCCCGGCCTCGTGGCCGCGCACATCGTGTGGCTGCGGCACCACAACCGGTGACACGCCTCCCATACTGTACTGCACTATACTGTCCCCGCTCTCCACCGACTGCTTCCGCTCCGGCGACGCGCGCGTCAACGAGCACCCCGGCCTCGTGGCCGCGCACATCGTGTGGCTGCGCCACCACAACCGGTGACACGCCTCCCATACTGTACTGCACTATACTGTCCCCGCTCTCCACCGACTGCTTCCGCTCCGGCGACGCGCGCGTCAACGAGCACCCCGGCCTCGTGGCCGCGCACATCGTGTGGCTGCGGCACCACAACCGGTGACACGCCTCCCATACTGTACTGCACTATACTGTCCCCGCTCTCCACCGTCTGTCAGCAACACCCGTCTCCTATAGTGCGATTGAAACCTTATATGCAGTTGTTTTGAATAACATTAACTTTCTCTTCAGAAAAAGGGGTTTGGCTGTTTATCTTTTTTACTCTTTTAACTTTCAATCTTTCATTTATTTCGTATTTCGCGTCCTCTCTTCATTTATTCTTTCCTTCTCTTACTGTTACTGTAACTGATCCGTCCTCTGCACTTTCTCTCCTACCCCAGTGCGCGGCCTCGGAGTCCAATGGGACCATTCCACTTGTACTGTCTCTGTACATTATATTTTATCCCTAACCAAAATATTTCTTAGTTAGTTATATGCTAGCTATGTTAGTTAGTATAAAAGTAATCGTGCAGCTGTGAAGTTGAAAGAATAAAAATAAACATCGAGCGTAACTTTAAGCAGATTTCAGTTTAGTGCATACATTACGTTTACTGCGCCATAAACAACGCCGAATGCTAACTTCATAACCGCGATCTAATTTGATTTGCACTGCCCATTCAGTCATACTTAGGTCCCGGCTGTTTAAACAGATGATAGCACCCATCAATTCGCAATAGACCCGTGAAGTACTATTGCCCACTCTCTATGAGATTTAAGGAGGGCAGATCATGAGTAGTCGTTTAAAAATTAAAAATCAGCGGCAGAGAATCAAGCTTGCCAAAGTTGACTTTTAAAAACCGTTGTACTAATAATGTTGTTTAAAGCACAGGTAAATTGGAAAACTACAGACCGAATTCTAACTAGCAAATTACTTTTAATTTAAGAATGGCTCAAGAACTGGCACACCTTAATCCACATTGGAGCGACGAGAAGATCTACCAGGAAACCAGGAAGATAGTGGGAGCAATGGTACAACAGATCACTTACAGGGAGTTCCTGCCGATTGTTCTAGGTAACTGATCCCAAAAATCCTTTCGTTTCAGTAGTTCAGTGCGTAGCTACATTTATTAATTATTTTATTCAGCAAGAATCTCACTGTTTACTGATTTCAGTAGTCAAACTTTGCTATTCGCAATCAGAATATATGCCAACAAAAAATGTATTTTCCTGGTGGTCATACTTTTTGGTCTAACTATGTAGTTTATCCATATCCAACGCTAAATTTCATGACCGAAATCCATTAAATAGCAGCAAAACCTTAAATAGTATTGGCTATCATACTAACATCGAATTCCCTTCCTGCGTCATTATTCTCTGATACAAATAATGTAGAGATCATCAAGGCAAAAGTAAACAGACATTATTTGAATTGTCAGATGAGATTGCGGAAAACAGCTCTTAAATCTTTTATATAGGGTGAAATTGAATGTTTTAATGAAACTTCGTGAGATTGTTGGGTTACGAGTATAGAGTATGCCTGATTTTTTTCGGATTTTTTTGAAGTATTTTTTTTCATGTATTTATTTATAATTTGTGTATTTTTTTGTCCTTTCCTCCTTTTGAGTAGTTATTCATATTAAACAAACATGCTTACATATCCAGTGAAAAACAACTTATAAATAAGCACTTCTAAAAAACGGAAAAACAGTAAAATTCCACCGCAGGTCAACGACCGACCGCGCCGGCCAGCCGTTGAGTGAGTAGGTACGTACACAGAGCTCAGCTGACTCGTTTGATTCCACACAATAAAATCGTCTTAGATGCCTTTATTGAAATTGAAATAATAAGCACAAATGTCCTCTTCTCTTAAGCAGAGAAAAACTTAAAAAGTTAATAATAATTTTATCACGATTGGAAATAGGCAAAAGTTAAACAAAAAGAAATACTTATTGCAGTTCAATACTTGGGTCAGAATGAAATTTATTACCAGGTATTCAAAAGTACTTACGAGACCGATGTACCTATTAATTATTTTCTCTATAACTTCCCAATAAATCACCAAACCTACTTTCGTAAAGCCTTGTGGCTCTGCTGAGTATTCCGTGACACTCGCAATAACAACACACCATATCCAAATTCTTATATTGAGGGCACAGAACAAGAACTAATCAAGGCATTATTTGCAAACCTTGTCTTGTCACAAATTTAAAAGATACGCACGCGCGCTTGAGACTCCGCTCGCTCACTGCGCTGTGCACCGCGCATACCTATTTAGGTAGGCAGGAAGGTATTCAACGGCGGGAGCGGTCATTGCTCCCGGCCGCCCGTCTCCTGTTTTTACGTCTTTTTAGTAGTGCTTATTACTTGTTTTTTACTTACTCTGTATGCATGTTTTAAAAGAATAATTATTTAGTACCCAAAAGGAGGAAAGGACTTAAAATATAACAAAAAAAAACAAAATTTTATTATAAATCATTTTTTAAAAAATCCGAAAAAATTCAGAGATACTCTATATACGTAACCCAACATTCCCACGAAGTTTCATTAAAACATTCAATTTCACCCTGTATAAAAAAAATGGATGCGTGTAACTTATGTACGCGCGTGAGAAGTTATACTTCTTTAGCATCATTAAAAATATTTTTTAATTGCATGCAAATAATTAATAATTACAATAAAATAATAAAGGGACTGGAAAAGGATAGTTAACACAGTCAATTAAGTTCAGTTTTAATTTGAAAAATTAAATAAATATTCAAAATATTCAATTAAAATCACTACTGAATTTAAGTTATTAGTCCATATGTAATTAGCACTTGTAAGTAACTAAAACACGTGTCTATATAGAAACTAGAAACATGCGGATAAATATTATAAATATGAAAACAGTGATCAGAGGCGACGAGCGTGCCAACATTGTTTTTGACAACGCGATCATCTTATGGAGCTCCGTGGATCGTTCAAAGTACCTTTCGAACAGACACTAACATTCATAACGCGCCCGCGGCCAACTTCATGGTGTTACTATTGTGTTACAGTGATGCGCGCGCATCTCGAAATTTCACTCACATGATTTTTTCATAACGCGCCCGCGGCCAACTTCATGCTGTTACTTTTGGGTTACAGTGATGCGCGCGCATCTAAAAATTTCACTCTCATCATTTTTTCATAACGCGCCTAAAGAAGTATAACTTCAAAAAGTTAGAATTCAAAACGCCATCGGAATGAGAATTTCTTACTTTTGATTGGATATTGTTCACAAAAGGTGCTGAAGTAATGCGCCTATTCGAGCTGGAGCCCTTGAGCAAGGGTTACTTCAAAGGCTACAACCCGAAGGTGAACCCGAGTCCGGCCAGCTCGTTCGGCTCGGCTGCCTTCCGCTTCGGCCATAGCCTCGTGCAGTCCTCCATGATGCGATACGACCGCTTCCACAGACCCATCAATAACAGTAAGACTTACGACACGTATTTTTATCGAAAGAAAATTTTACTAGAAAAAAATCCACGCGGTCCAGGCAGCGAACTGGACTCGAACCCGCACCCTCCGCTATCTGGGCGGATTCGCTGTTCAAAATACCGCGACCTTAATGGCCGTGTCGAAATTCTTCTAGTGTTTCTAGTGCTACAAGGCTTTTGATTTAAAAATATATAGCAAAACAATCTAGCAAAGATTTAACTATGTTTAAAAACAAAAATATAATAGATCATTTTTAAACATATAGCTGAGCGACATTCAAGAGTGCTTATAAGTAATAGCCCAAACTGATTAAACTGCATTTTTATTATTATTATTTTAGGCATTTAACTGCTAGATGTTTAAATCTAAAGCCTTGCAGCCTAAGAAATACACCACATGGAATATTTTTAAGTAATATTTTCTTTAAACTACATATTATTGAATTTGAATATAAACTCACTTTCTAAAGATATAGGTACACCAAAGTACTCGTAGATCCTTGTAACCTTGTAAGCCTATCAAGCTTCCTCGGTATATCGTGTTCAAAATATCGTCAACCCTCGTGTTAATGAGATCTTATCGACCATAAACATCACCCTAGCTTACCTCCAGTTAACGAATTACTTTTCCCATGAATTGATTTTCAATTGTTCTTCGGAAAGTGCTGCCACGTCAGGCCAACCCCTTTAAGGAAGCAGCTTTATGTCTGAAAACGCAGACCGAATACACATGTTACGTTATCGCGCTAAAGCAAATAAAAATAATCAAGTGCCTGTTACAGACGTGTCCCTCCACAACGAGCTAACCAATCCCTCAAACATTTGGAGCATGGGCGCCGTGGACAGACTTCTATTGGGCATGGTCAATCAGCCAATACAAAAACGTGACGAATTTATAACTGAAGAGCTCACCAACCACCTGTTCCAAACACCCCATTTTGATTTCGGCATGGATTTGGCCGCCATCAACATTCAAAGAGGGAGGGACCACGGCATGCCGCCGTACACAACATGGCGGGAGCCCTGTGGTCTGTCTCAGATCACTGGTTTCGAGGACTTATCTAGAGTTATGCCCAAAAGGGTCGTGAGGAAGATCAAAAGTTTATACAGGTGAGCATTTCGATGATTTCATTGTCAATTTGATTTTTAAACGCCTGGATAGAGCAATCCAAATAAATCACGCTAAAAAACGGCTTATGTTTCGCGCAATGTGTGCGTGACTCTAATGTCAGATTGAATGAACTAAAGCAATCAATGTAAGCGTATGTATTTTGTAGCGACCAGCATATCTACCATATGTAGTAGATATTTTTTGTGCCGATTCCGTGCAGTTAAAACGCTATCTACGATGTATTTAATCAAAGATTGTCAGCTATTTAATGACGAATCGTTTTATTAACTGGAAATGTATCTCCCAAGAAAAAGAGTTCATTAAAAAAGCAATACTTCAAATAAAATATATACATCCACCATCAAATTCTTATTCAATGATTAATTCAGATAGGAAATACTGCTACGAAGATCTGTCCTTTAATAACAATGTTGCTTTCAGGCATGTAGATGACATCGACTTGTTTACCGGGGGAATGGCAGAAAGACCAGTTGTGGGAGGTCTGGTAGGACCAACCTTTGCTTGTATCATTGCACAGCAATTTTCCAATCTTCGGAAAGGAGATAGATTCTGGTAAAATCTAAGTAAAGAAATACCGCTAAGTAAATGATAACATTAATGGGTGATTCTATCATGCATCTTCTTATTTCAGGTATGAAAATGGAGGATTTGACTCATCGTTCACTCCTGCTCAATTGCAACAAATACGTCGCGTGTCGTTCGCCCAAGTTCTCTGCCGTACTTTGGACACCATTGACAATATTCAACCATTCGTATTTCTGTCACACGACAACCCCGACAATGACAGAATCTCGTGCCAAAATGGTTTACTTAATAACTTTGACTTATCTCCCTGGGTAGAAATCAACTCTGACCACAACAACGACATTAGCAAGTCCGACGACATCAAAAGTAGTACTACTATAAAGCCTAAAAGGCCTAAACCTGTGACAACGACAAAAAGACCACTGACGACAAAAAAGACACAAAAACTATCCACAGCTTCTACCCATAAAACAACCCAAAAGAAAACTAGTTTGTTAAATAATTCAACAAAGACTCAAAATGTGACAAAACCAAAACAGACTACCACAACAATAATGAACAAAACTGACACGACCCTTAAAGATAAAAACGACTCGACTATTACTATGAAACCTGAAAAGACTGTATCTAAACTAAACACTACACAAAAAATTGACGACAAACTTGACTTTAAAAACAAAAGTAGACGCTATGATGACTTGAATAACGATAAGACTGACACACGACAATACCAGAACGGTACAAAGAAAACTTACGACTATGAGTATGACGATGACGAAGAACAGACAATACAAAACGTTCAAACCGTTGTTGTAAACAACTTCTCACATAAACGACCTTACCACAGACCGACAGACTTTTTGACAGTAACAGAAAATACTAACAAATATACTTACTTGATAAACTACGTTCCAAGACCAACTGAATCATGGCGACACACGACTAGAAAGCCTCACGACCGAAACAAAGACAGAGACGTGATTAAAGTGACTTACCAGACATACGACGACACGTACAGACGACCGACTAAGCCCCACTATTACAACAAAGAACACGACCGAGACAGACTTGATAACTTTGACTACGAAAACTTTTACAGACACAACAGACCAGTATCACAATCACAAACGACTAACAGAAATCAACTGCATTCATCCGCCCGATCTAACGGTGAAACTGTTTTGACAACGACAAAAACTAAAACTACGACTGATAAATCATTTGACAAAGTTAGCTCTTCGACAGAGAACTTTTACAAATTGGTGACTTTTGGATACGTAGGTACTTACAGAGGTGACATGACTGAACAATTTCGTAGCAAAAACGACACCGAATTGACTGAGAGACATAACTTAGGCCATGACGTAATCAGCAAGGACTTTTCCACTTACGAGACTAAAAAACTTGACCCAGTTAACAATGACCAGACTGATAACATGAAACTATCCACATTCTTCCTTTACGAGACAGCGACTCGACCTTACAGTAACGTTTACAGACCGACAAGACGACATGACGAAGAGAAAGTCCAGACTAAAGGTAACGCTAATAAGTATTACTATATTAAAAACGTGTTACACAAATACGGCGAGACTGACGAAATACCGACCGTCAAATCTACAGAAATAAAAAAAGACATTATTAAAGAGAACTATAACAACCCCGGAGTTCCATATAACGTAGACATAGAAGAAAGATCTGCTCCCGGGAAAATGGAACTACTGGAAGAGATAGAATCAAAAGCCGTTAATTCGGAAAAACAAAAAGTTAAAGTTAAAAAGCCAAGTAATGAAGCAAAGACTCCTTCAGTAGCTTTTCAAATAATACCAAGCGAAAACAGGTAAAGAAAAGTTATCCCCGAACCGGAACTAATTAAGCAGATATGATGAAAATTTGTTGAATACTTCTTTTCTTATTCATTTGTGTTGTTTTGTTACAGTCCTTCTCAATGGGCGATATACGATGAAAAGACTGAACTATCTGATGATCTACCACACCGGATGCCAACCATCAAAGGAGACCCGTATGCCTTAAAGGAAATCCCGCGACCCATGAACTTAAACAGTATGAGGAGACGACGACCGGGGAATATGTGATTTCTACAGGAAGACGCCATAATTTAACTAATTAATACGGGAATGAATTATGAAACAAAAAACTTATCTAAAACAAGTGTTCCTAGATAAATATGAAATAATTCCTAATATATGGATTTAATTATTTATCTTAAGTTGTAAATCTAGTACGAGTTTTGGTAGATTTTTTGAATACCCACATTTTCATTCGCCTCTAGCCGAAATTAGAGTACATTCAAATTTGAAAAACTATGACAGTGACCAATTTATAAAGATGTGTGACAATGACAACAATGATGACATAAGTGACAAAGAAGACAAGACTTACTACTGACTTTGAGGAGTTTTCTCATTTAATACGTAATTCGTATAGACTACAACTACATACAATTAACTGAATGTTGACACAATAACTTCGTAATAAGTAAAAATTATGGCTCTAAATCTTAGACAAGACAGTCTACAATCCAAATGGATTTTGAAAGAAACGCATGAAGTTATACAGACTTAATGACAGTAAGACTTGATTTACAACTTTGTTGTTTAATGACTTGACTTCTAAGCTTGACTTTGGACTTTTGACCAAGTAACGATACCAGACTCGATAACTGAATAATCTGACTCATTAGTAATTGATAATCAAAAAAAATATGACAATAATTTTACTTCAAAAAGGCTTTCCTTTGACTATACAAAGATTAGTTGCTCAGTGACTATACATAAAATTGACCAACCAAAAATTGAGTGACTTGTTATTGACAACTACACACCACAAGTCAGTATCGTTTAGTTATGACTTTGAGTTAAGTACTTAAATGTTTTGCTTTAGTTATTATTCTGATACTTTGAGGTATTAAGTATACTGTAATCAATAAACAAGACTGACTAACCAACTGGCTAAAGAATTTTTAGTAAATTGACTCATGACTGAAGAAACGAATAAAGAACAACTTACATTTAGTCACATATACCTATGACTTCTACCAACTATAAAGATGTTAAGTAAATGTAAGACTATTTAATTATACTTTAATGATTTTGACTGACTGCATGCAACAAAGACTTATTGTACTTGATATTTATAATTGCTTTAAAGCTTATCACAATAGGAACTGACTGAGATGTGACTTAGACAATGTTACTGAATTTGAAAACATTAATTACGATCTCTATTAACACAATAAATAACTAGTATTATAAAGAAATGGAAGTTGCAAACTTCCTTTTATTATATAAGTTTACTTTTTAAAACTAAACTTAAGGAACCAGGTTTAAAATTACATTAAAATCCTTTTATAACAATTTACTATGCTGGTGGTTCCCTTAATAATATAAAATCTATTGCTGTTACGAAGCATACCACCGAAATTTGGTTATTATTTTGTAATAATTATTGAAAACAATTTGTTTTTTAACAGTTTATTTAAAATACAAATATAATTTAATAAATAAATCCTACTAAGTAGAACTTTACACAATCACATAAAACATCTATGAGTAAATACTTAGTTAAGTACATTTCTATTATTATATAAGTAAACCCAAATTTGAAAATACAAAGTTGATTTGATACTTATATAAGTTATGTTTTATTTCATCCCTATTTAAGGTCACATACTAAGGACAAATGAGTGAACAGAATAAAATTAGGAGACAGACTATCTACAAATTAAAAAAAAGAAAATTACAGTTAGTGAAAAAATGTACATAAATGCAAAATAACATTCCTTTGCATTTCATTGTTTAAATTAAAAAACTTAATTTATCCATACAATAAAATATGCAGCATGTCTTTTCTCTAGTTCACATTGTAGAAAAATATTCACTTTTATTGACAAACCCGAGACAAGCATGGAATGACAATTCAACACAGATTCTTTATCCATTATAATATTTTACTACTAACTAACATTATTATTACCTTGGTTTAATCCCTTTCTGGATAATATTGTACAAGTGATTCGGCCAATTCTTGTGCTAGCTCTGGGGTGCTAGCACACAGAACCCTTCGTGATAATAAATCGAAGGGTCCTCCAGATGGGTCTATACACACTCCACCAGCCTCTCTAACGAGAATATCCCCAGCAGCTACATCCCATGCATGTATACCAAACTCAAAATTGGCATCTGCTCCACCCATGGCAACCATAGCCATATTCAAAGCTGCAGAACCCAATGATCTCACACCATGACCTTTGTTAACCACCATTTTAAAGTTTTCCATAACTGCTCTACATTTTTCTTCATCACGGCTCGTCCCTGCTTCAAAAGCAATCAAAGCCTTCTTCAGCTCATTTATTTTAGAAACATGAATTTGTCTGCCGTTCAGAAAGGCTCCTTGACCTTTTTTAGCTGTAAACAACTGGCCAATAATTGGATTATAGATTATTCCAGCAACTGATTCTTTATTTATCACTAGGCCAAGGGAAATACAACTGTGAGGAAATCCATGAACAAAATTCAGGGTACCATCTACTGGATCTATCACCCACGTAGGGTCATCAGTCAAGATGCATTTAGCACCATCAGCAACCGATTCTTCTCCTATGAATTTGTGTTCAGGAAACGTTTTTGACAATCCACCAATTAGCATTTCTTCTACATTTTTATCAACTTCTGTCACTAAATCAATGTCGCAGGATTTAAATTCGAATTCTTTACACCCGCTAACATGCTCTGTTATAAGTTTTCCAGCCGCTTTGACGATAGCTAAAGCCTCGTCAAAATATTCATCTATTAATTCAGACATTTTGAGTTATGAGTGAGGCAACAAACGTCCAATACTGTTTACTCAATATATTCCGTTATTATTGTGTCATCAAATTTATTTCGTATAGATATTAATAACACAAAATCGAATTTCTGGCCCCAAAGAACTTAAAAATCTGTGATGTGAATAATGTGATTATTACTGAAAATCGGAAAATTCTGAAATGTCAAGTCAATGTCATGTCAATGTCTTTTTGTCCTTTTTTATTCTCCCATCAGAAGGTAAAAGAAGTTTAGTCTATACAGCTCAAATCTCAGTATTACAATAGGGCTGATTTTATTTACACTTCCTTAGAGCCTGCGCTGCGTTAAGCGGGTCACAGAGCGGGCGTCCGCTTCGCGTGCTGTATTTGCCATTTCATAGATACACTCTGCGCTAGAGACCAAATACTCACCTCATGCAACGCTGCTCTATGTAATAACATAAAACGAACACAAATAAAACGTATTTACAGCTCCACTCAGCGTATTCGAACTCTGCTCCACTTCACACAGCTCTGTTTGGCTCAACTTCATCAAGCTACACAACTTAGTTTTGCATGGCTTATCTTCGCTCAATTTCAACGCAAACAATTTTCTACACGGGTTCGAATAGCTCTATTCCGCACAGCTCCGCTTCTGTGGAAACGCAACCTAATGTGGTTCCTGCCTTTTCCTTTCGCTAATACTGGAGTGGATTCCAGCTCTCAGAACCGACCCATGGGTAAAAAATGTGCCAAAATTCCATACAACTACGCTCAGCGAATTGAATAAATTTTATTTTTGATGATTGTCAAAAGGTTGTGTTATGTTTACAGGTGTTATTCTATGGCAAGGGCACATCTTTATTCTTTCAGATTAATAATCCTTTCGGCACCTTAGGGCCTACTGGAACGCTCAGTCGGTTCGTTAGTTCTTATTCCCTAAGGCGCTTTGCAGACGACGGGGCGGGGCGGGCCGGTCAATTTCGCCGCGAATAATAGCACAAAGTGAATCCTATACTTCAAACGCACACAGCGGTCAAAAAGACCGCGCCTTGGGTGCCCGGCGGACACTGACGGCGCGGCATGTCCGCGGCTGCCCGCCGTGGATCATACAAATCAGTTTATATGCAATAACGCAGACGGCGGCGCGGGGCGGTCATGGACTATTCACTAGAACGAACGTCCTAAACTGACCGCCTCTGCCCGTCGTGTGCTTTGTGTACGCGGCGCGGGCAGCCGCAGACATCGACGGGCAGACGCGGTCTTTATTGCTTCGAGGACAAAATGCCCGCTCCGCCCCGTCGTCTGCTCAACGCCTAAACGTCCATTCTCCGAATGCGTGTGCAGTCTACACCTGTGCAGCGAGCGGCGCTAGCGGAGCTTATCAAACTATACAGCGTTCGAAAAAGTGCTGAAGTGGGCGCATGGCACACTGACCACCTGCACCGCGCGCTCTACTACGAAGTGACGCCGCGTGCAGTGGTGCCAACTCTACGTCTTTTTACGTAGATCTACGTATTTTAGGCCTTTTCTGCAAACCTACTAACTTCAGTCCCAAAATCTACGTATTTTCTTTTAATTTTTTGTCATCGGGCCTACGCCTTTTTCAAAATCCGAGTTGGCAACACTGGCCGCGTGCGAGCTTTGCACCCGCACCGCCTCCGCGCCCGTGTAGGTGCAATCTGACCGTTATTGCGCAGAAGTATTCGCGCCCGTGTAGGTGCAGGATGACCAGGCACTTAAGGTCGTATTAGGCGTGGCACGAAACTCTAGCGTAGGCCGTTATTGCGCAGAAGTAAATGCACTCGTGTAGATGCAGTCTGGCCAGGCCCTTAAGGTCGTATAAGGCGTGGCACGAAAGTGTAGCGTTGGCCGTTATTGCGCAGAAGTAAAAATTAAGAAGTGTTGGGGGGAAACAAGTCTGCGGGTGGGCGTGCGATGCGCCGATTGGCTCTCCAGTCGTACCCATGCGCAGCTGTCTCCTCCGCGTTTTGTTCAGCGCTAGAGTTACGTGCCGCGACCCGTAGCACATGTATGTCAGCTCGGAAAGGGATAGTCACAGAACTAATGGGATAAAAATTCCCATTAGTTCGGTCAACAGAACTGTTCAACGTAAATGGAAGTGGGAAAAAATGAACGTATCAACTTAAGTCGTTAACTATTCTTTGTATGAAACTCCCTAATCCAAATCATACCCATATTCGGGTGCACGAAAAACATTACTGGAATTCGGGCACCCGAACCAATATTTACAATGGAATACTGGCTGGAAAATGATGTCGGGTAACCAAAACGAAAACTCGACGCCGTTCATTTACACTTAAGGTGAACGCAGACTTGGCTGCAGTCCCCGCAGTCATCGCTTTGTGTTAATGAATGGCCTCGCACATCTATGCAGTCGTTCCCGTCGCCGCAACGCATCGCACTTGATTTCATTCATTCAGTTGATGCGAATGACATTTGTGGCGTTGGTGACGTCATCAGCTGCGGCTTGGGGAGTTCAGTCATGGTTCAGTCGTTTCAGGGACTGCGACCATAATATTACTTTTCTCTATGACTGCGACGCGGGTGGGTGTGCGAGGTTGCATAGAACTTCATATAAAGAATTCGAATGCGAAGACTGCGACGCGTGCGGTGCGGCTAAGTCTTCGTTCACCTTTAATCGTTTACCCGAATCCCATTGGCACTCGTATTGGGGGCTAACGGCGAAGTGTTATCGGTTATCGCGACATTATGGTAATATAGATATTAGGTTTAACTAAAGTTTTAACATCTCATAACTTCGTGCGACGATCTATTAACATATCTTTTTTGGAAGGTATACAGCTATCAAGCACACGCTTGATCTCGATCGCAACCTTCCAAACAAGATAATATGAATTAGATGAATGCTCATTGTCCTTTCCGTAAAATGTGTTTCTGCAATGGTAATATAAAGGGTATGTTATAGATTTCAGCAAACTTCTTGGGTAAAAGTACAGACAAACTTGCTCAGCCTCAGCCTTAGCCATTGCGGGCCCGGGGCGACAGGGCTTTGCGGGAGGCCCTTTTTATCCGACTTCGCCAAAAATATAGTTATGTTTTTCAAGTGTATTTATATTTCTTTATTTGTAAGTGTATTTCTCAACGTTTTGATGGATTTTGGCTTGGGAGGTGTTGTTGCTCAATAATTTTGTCGGGCTGTATACCTACCATTATTATGAAATAAGGACTACAACTTACCTAACAGGATATTATGTGAAATAAAACAAATGATATTAAAAATCATGAAAAATTGTTTAATTGGCATACCAACTGATAACTTGTTACAACCTATGTCCAATTTTACAATTATCAATATTGTTAATAATTAAATATAATATTTATGTAAAATAGGTTTATGCTGGTTTACTTACATTTAATTTTTATATTATTATTCAGAAAAAACTATAATAACTAAAAAAAAGAGGTCATTATAATAATTATAGACTCGGTAAATATTGATAAAAAAATGCTCGTACAGATGCAAAATCGTTTTTTTTTTTCGGTTTTTTCAGTTTTTAGGCCTTCGATAGAGGAGACAGACGTCAGTTGCACGTATTATGTATGTCCATTTTATAAAACTAAGGCCACGTTTTGTTACTAAGAGTTTCACCTAAGTCTAAGAGAATAAAGCGAGCCAATGTCTAGCGCATACCTCCGCCTGGCATAAGAAAATAATACCATTTCGTATAATTACGTAAACAAATTTACATGAACCACCTCTCAGGTGTATTTACATGTGCGAAGATGTTGAAAACAACGAGAGTACAGATTTAGGGGAGACAGTTACACAATGATGGTTTACAACATTAGGATCGCGGCGGAGCGTTTATAAATATCACTACAGATACATGCGACAGCGAATTTGTACTGGTTTTTAATTAAATATCCGACGTAACATTTTTTTCTTCAAGAGCGAAACATCTCAGCCCCGATCCCACACACGAAAAGCTTACATGTCCTTACTTAAAACTAGGTATCATTAGAATTTGTATGGCAACAAAGCGTTCAGTGACCGACACTGATCTCTTATATTTACATGTTGGATTGCTCGTGCTGTGACAGTTGGTGGAGTGAGCAAGACCACACTATCGGCGAGAACGGGAGGGGTATACAGTGCGGGAGGGGGTGGGGGGGTAGGGTCGTTCGTATTGTCGCAAAAACAGTCTTCACCATTCAGTCGCTTTAAATGCATAGAGAAAAAATCATCTGCTTCTTCTAATAAACACGTATTTGCCACGATCAATAATACTTTTCGTTTGTTTTAATCATTAATTTCATTACAATATCACCCAATGAGTAATTTTAAAAACCCATAGACTATGTCTAGGTAAATTTTTCAAACTCTCGATTGCTAGGAATGTTTCGTTATTAATACTGGGGCTTGAGAAATGCTCCGATTCTTTTTATATTTAATGAAATCTAATTTATTGTGATCCGCAGACTGTTAAATGCAATAATGTAAAACGTTCGAGCACCCGTCTACTATTGAAACATGTACTCGGTAATTATCAATACAATGGTTTCGATTCTGGCGTGATTCTCTAAGCTTAAAAAAAAATTAACATCAGTCTCTCCTTTTCATTCTGTATAGAGAATGACAAGGAAACACTGTTGTCAAATTTAAGTTTAGGTTTAGTGAATCATGCCAGAATCGACACCTATAGTGTTGTAACAATAAAAAAAAAGTCCATTCAATTACAAATTCAATTTGACAAACACTTACACGACTGGTAGTACTTACTAAAATAAAATAATCTATAAACATGGTTTAACAAAAAATAAAACTTAATCTTGATATTATTCATAAGCGCCGGTATATTTTATGTTAATATAACTTATTTTGGAACCGGCCTTAAATGGTAAATTTCATAGTAACATTTTTAATAAACCATGATTACATTGTAGTTTCCGTAACAATAATAATATTGGCGCACTGCGACGTTCAATAAACAATTATACATACTTGCTGGTAAGTACACAGAATATGGTAGTGCATGACCGTGCGACTAATGGGCCACCAGAGTGGGTCGAAACCGGACAGCAGTCCGTTTTATACAATTTTAAGTCACCACCGCATTGTACAAATCAAATTTAGCACAAGCCATTGAAAACGTGATACGGTTAATGAAGAAATACTCGTAAACTTACCCATAGAAATTGGATTAGGAAAAAAGTGAAA